GTAACAGCACAAGCATTTGGTGCTTTGCCAAAAGTCAATGTCCGTTCCTCCCCCTGTTTCTGTTTAAACTAAAGGGAGCTAATCGTGGTGGAAGAATATGAGAGAGAGATAAGTAGAGAGAGAAAGAGAGAGTCAATTGAGAGAGAGAGAGAGAGAGAGAGGAAGTTTGGGGATATCAATGCTGAGAGAGAAGAAGAAGCTGCAATAAATGAGGTCCCTTTGATAAGTGGGTGAAAAGGGGGGTTTTCTCTTTAATTCGCTGTAAGAGAGAGAGACAAAGAGTGAGAAGTTTTCATCAAGCTGTGTGGATATGGTGGTCTAGTGTCGTAAAAATCGAGTCTTTGCTCACCTCTTCTCCTGGGTTTGGCTTCTGATGCACCAAAAACAAAAGCTTCTCTGTCCAATCTATAGCTGAAACCCTCTGTCCCTTTTCCTCTCCCCAGGAAACCATTTTGAGACTCGGTGCCACTGTGTTGTGGTTGCGGAGCTGCTTGGCTAGGTTTAGGGATCTGGGTTCTAGGGTTTGACTCTCCCTTCTTCTTCTTCTTCTTCTTCTTCTTCTTCTTCTTCTTCTTCTTCTTCTTCTTCTTCACCCCTTTTCTCTTCATGAATTCGTTTTCTGTAATTGGGACTCGTTTTTAAGCGAATTCCCGCTTCCAATTGCAAGCCCCTCTCTGTATTTTAAAAGAAAGTTGGATTCTTGAAGAAATATTCTTTATACAGTTTCCAGTTCCCCTGATCTGTGTTCGCTCACTGGGAAGCGGCTTTCCTCTTTCTTCCCCCACTTTTCTACTCTGATTTCCCACTCCTAGGGTTTCCAAGCTGATCACTGAATCGAAAATATCCTCAATTTCCCCCCTTTTTCATGGGCTGAACTGAAACTTGACCATCCCGAAGGAGCTTGATAGTAGCAAGTGTGATGCATCTGTCACTGTGGAAGCCTATTTCCCACTGCGCTGCTCTCATATTGGACAAGAAGAGCAAGAGGAAAAATGGGTCGGAATCCGATCTCGAGATTTCCAGAAATCCATCAATTCTCCGGAAACTTCAAGAGCACAGGTTGAGGGAAGCGCTCGAGGAAGCTTCTGAAGATGGGTCACTCGTCAAATCCAAGGACATGGATGATTCCGAGGCGGCCGCTGCTGCAAGCAACCAAGACGAAGGAACAATCGGCCGATCGAGATCGCTGGCGAGGCTTCACGCCCAGCGGGAGTTTCTTCGTGCCACGTCCCTTGCTGCAGATCGAGTGTTCGAGACCCCAGATTCCATTCCTGAGCTTCATGAGTCGTTCTCCAAGTTCCTCACTATGTACCCAAAGTACGAGTCTTCTGAGAAAGTTGATCAGTTGAGGTCAGATGAGTACACCCATTTGTCTCCCAAGGTATGCCTTGATTACTGTGGGTTTGGGCTGTTTTCATACCTTCAGACTCTACATTACTGGGAATCTTCCACTTTTAGCTTGTCCGAGATAACTGCGAATTTGAGCAATCATGCGCTTTATGGTGGTGCTGAGAAGAACACTGTGGAATATGATATCAAGGCTAGGATAATGGATTACTTGAACATCCCTGAGAATGAATATGGCCTTGTTTTTACGGTGAGTAGAGGTTCTGCTTTCAAATTGCTTGCAGAATCCTACCCTTTTCACACAAATAAGAAGTTGTTGACCATGTTTGATTACGAGAGTCAGTCTGTGAATTGGATGGCTCAGAGTGCCAAGGAGAAAGGTGCAGATGTTTACAGTGCTTGGTTCAAATGGCCAACCCTTAAGCTTTGCTCAACAGATTTGAGGAAGCAGATTTCGAACAAGAAAAGACGGAAGAAGGATTCTGCCACTGGTTTATTCGTCTTCCCTGTGCAGTCGAGGGTTACAGGAGCCAAGTATTCTTATCAGTGGATGGCACTTGCTCAGCAGAACAACTGGCATGTGTTGCTTGATGCTGGATCATTAGGCCCCAAAGATATGGATTCACTTGGTTTATCGTTGTTTCGACCTGATTTCATCATCACTTCGTTTTACCGTGTGTTTGGGTTTGACCCAACTGGGTTTGGATGTCTTCTTATTAAGAAATCTGTCATGAGTTGTCTTCAGCGTCAGTCTGGCAGTACAGGGTCTGGGATAGTGAAGATAACTCCTGAGTATCCTCTCTATTTGAGTGATTCTGTAGATGGTCTAGATGGGACGACTGGTGTTGAAGATGACGAGGTTATGGGAAGTGATGAAAATGGTACTACGGAACCGCGTCAAGGGACGCAGCTGCCTGCATTCTCCGGGGCATTTACACCTGCTCAAGTGAGCGATGTTTTTGAGACCGAGATGAGTCATGACAACAACTCGGATAGAGATGGGACGAGCACTATATTTGAAGAAACAGAAAGCATCTCTGTTGGTGAAGTGATGAAAAGCCCTGTTTTCAGCGAAGATGGATCGTCAGACAATTCGTTCTGGATCGATTTGGGCCAGAGCCCGTTGGGTTCCGACTCTGCAGCAAAACACAAGTCAACTGGCTCTCCGCTGCCACCTTTTTGGTTCTCCAGCAAGAAGAATCACAACAAGAGAAACTCACCAAAACTGACTTCAGAGATCTACAGCAGTCCACTGTATGATGACAAGGTGTTGTCATTTGATGCTGCGGTTTTATCAGTTTCTCAGGAGCTCGACCGTGTTAAGGAGGTTCCTGAAGAAGAGCAGTATGGCCATACAAACCTGAGAGAGGGTCTTAATCATATGCATGTTTCCGAGATTGAAGAAGAAGAACCAGCAAACGGGTTTCATAATGGCACTGACAAAATAGAGAGTGCTATAAGAAGAGAAACAGAAGGTGAATTTCGGTTACTGGGAAGAAGGGAAGGGAACCGATATTCTGGTGGTAGATTTCTTGGAGTGGATGAGAGTGAACATCCGAGCAGGCGAAGAAGGGTGTCATTTAGCGCGGAGGAGAGTCGTAAAGAACTCGTGACTGAGCCAGGGGAAGTATCTATAGCTACACTAGAAGATGATAATGACGTGTACACAAGCGATGGTGAGTTTGGTGAGGGGATGCAGGATTGGGATAGGCGAGAGCCTGAGATAAGTTGCCGGCATTTGGATCATGTGAACATGTTGGGCCTCAATAAGACGACTCTAAGGCTTCGATTTTTGATCAACTGGCTTGTGACTTCATTGCTGCAACTGAGATTACCCACTGCCGAAGAAGGGGAAGGAGGAGGAGGAATGCATCTTGTCCACATTTATGGACCGAAGATCAAGTACGAGAGAGGTGCTGCAGTTGCTTTCAACATCAGGGATAGAAACCGGGGGCTTGTGCATCCTGAAGTTGTTCAGAGGCTAGCTGAAAGAGAAGGGATATCTCTTGGCATTGGGTTTCTCAGTCACATACGAATCGTGGATGGCCCTAGACAGCATAAGGGTGGCTTGAACCTTGAAGACGCTACTTCCCTTTGCAGGGCGGTGGAGACTGGTGGTCGCGGAAAATCAGGTTTTATAAGAGTCGAGGTTGTCACTGCCTCGCTAGGGTTTCTGACCAACTTCGAAGATGTTTACAAACTATGGGTTTTTGCTTCCAAGTTTCTAAATCCTGGATTTACCAGAGAAGGCAGCCTTCCGACGGTTGAAGAAGGCGAAGAAACATGATGTATTGAACCACTCATTGTTCTTTTTTGTTTGCCCAGATGTGATGGACCTAATATCGAATCCATCCGAGAGTTAGAGCTGAAGATCAAAAGCCAGGGCTGGGCGAAAGCTGGTGCTGTTTCTATTTCTTTTGCTCTTCCTCGTGACTCTTCTGAAAGATGGCAGTTGGGTTGGGATGGATGGATTTGTTGATACTTGTTTGTTGTTTGATTGTTCTCTTATTTTCTCCTCTGGGTTCTGGGTTCTTTGTAGAGAGGGTGGGCTCAGATTTGTATTCTCACTTGAGAAAGTATCTAAACAGCAGAATACATTGATCTCAAAAGGTTCCAACATTCTGCTTTCTAGGTTGTCTGTCTCTATACTGAAAAAAAGTTCAAATTTCTTCATGCTGCTGTAAAAACACCTCAACTAGGCAAGCCTGTTGTAGATTATAATACCCATTTCATTGGCACGTTTTAGATCCCTGCCAGCCACCCTGATTGTGGTAGGGAAGATCTCTATTTCTTATTGAACGTGCAAGCTTATTTGTTACAGCATTTCAATGCCATGCAGGAAGGTTCCTCAACGTCTGTACGCTAGGCAACGAAAAAACTCATCGTTTAGACTTTAGGTTGAGAATTAGACATTCATAACGTCTAGCGTCTTCTTCAACTTTATTAATAAGAGTATGTCGATCTTTGATGCAAATCTTGAGTTGGAGAGCCGTCATTTTCATTGTCTGTTAACACTCTTTTGTGTAAATGCGGAATCCAGGCTTAACAACTTGGTGCTTGTTCTTTCAGTACATGCCTACTGAGTTTGTGAAGAAATACAGATCCAGGCTAGGCAGCAATGTAACACTGAAGGTCGCTAATGGTGATAGATGGGAAGTAGAGCTGGCTATTGATGATGATGGGCTTATTTGGCTGATTAAGGGCTGGGAGGATTTCGCAAAGCACCATTCTTTGAAGCGCTGTGATGTTCTAGTTTTTCTGTTAGAGCAGGACAGCTTCTTTCATGTCATGGTGTTGGAACGCACTGCAGGCGAGGAGAAGTATCGTTGCAAGGATGTGAATGGTATTCGGAGACTGTTGAGTGATTTTAGAGTTGAGCTGGAAGTTGAAGAAGAAGAGGAGGAGGAGGAGGAATCGGAGGAAGAAGAAGAAGAGGAGGAGGAAGAGGAATCGGAGGAAGAAGAAGAGGAGGAAGAAGATGCCTTCTCCACCAACGTTGAGACACCAAACAATCCATCGAAGACAGGAATGAGAGGTACACTTACTCTATGCTTTGTTTTTTTTTGTGTTGCAGAGTTTGTTGAGTATGCTCCCATTCTCGATCAGTTCAATGACATGTGCTTGTGTCATGCTGGTATAGAGTTGGTAATCTTTCCCAAACTGTCATTTCATTAGCTAAAGTTGAATTCTTGCATTTCACAAGCCATATTTGACCCCAATCCAATACAGGAATACAAGAACCAAGAAAGGATATTGCCTCCACAAATCCAAATTTCTCCATCACCACAAGTGCAGGTTCGAGCTCATCTCCGAGGGCCAAATGAAAGCCGAGTGTTCGGAGGGCTTAAGAATGGTTGGATGTGCTGAATGTTTCAAGACCCTCTAGAATGGAGTTTGTTGTGTTTGTTCGTTCTATGCAGCTTTTGTTAGCAGGGGCATGGATGACATGAAATCAAGCTCCATACAAGAAACTCCGGCGCTCTACCGGATCGAGCAATGAAGCAATCCTGATCGATATCGACCCGTTAGTTCGAAAAGAACCGAACAGAGTGTTACATCAGCTACCACAACTATACTTCTACCACTGTTACATCACCTAATACCTACATTCATTCATCCATTACAGGTCACAAAAAAACACCCAAAAAACCAAACAAAGAGAGAGACGAAATCATCACTTCACCATTACATCTTCCCTCGACGAGCTCGTGCTCCCGTTCTCCTCCTTCCCCTCGCAATCATCGCCATCCGATTCGCCGTCTTCCTCCTCCGCCCGATCTTCGTCGGACGACGAGAGCGGTATCAGCCAGCACATCCCGTGCAGGTGCCCGTTGATGCAGACGAAGTACTCCAGCCCGCCGTCCCTCGACCCCAGCCGCCTCGCCGCGCTCCTCGGCACCAGCCTCGCCGCCGTCATGCTCCACACGCGGGCCCCGCAGTACGGACACCTCACCTTCTCCTCCAGCCTCACCCCTGGCTTCACCAAAAACGCCCGCGTTTTGGACCTCATGAATCCCCGGAAAATTCCCCTGTAAACCCCCAAATCCTCCCCTGCCTCCGCCGCCGGGTGCTCGCACGGGTCGCTCACGTACAGCAAATCCCCCCTGCACTTCTTCGCCAGGAAGCTCCTCCCCGACGTCTTCGAGAATCGCGACGCCTTCGCCACGTGTCCCTGCGAATTCGACGGCGAGGGAAAGCCAGCTCCGCCGCCCCCTCTGTATCCGCAGCAGAAGAGCATCAGCTTCGCGAGGGCCTTCCACCCGCCGTCGATTCGACCGCCGGGGGCTGCGGCGGAGGGGGCCGACCCGCTCGTCAATGTGGCCAGCATCCGGGGAGCGCGGTAGAGGCAGAGCTCCCGCCAGAGGAGCCTTGCGGCCACCGCGGCGAGCTTCCGGTTCACCGCCGCGACGGCGGTGAGCGTGTGGAGATCCCATTTCAGCGACTCGAAGACGAGGACGAGGACGCGCTCGTTCAAAATCCCCGAGTCGCCGCCGAACGAGTCGGATCCGGGTCGGCTGGTCCTCCTGACCCGCTTGGTGTTGTTGTCCATGTTGCTTCGTCCCGGAGAGAAAACGATGGAGGTACGTTTTTATACGCGGCTCGAGAAGGGACGCGTGGCGGGCGGTGAATGGGTGGCGTTTACTGGGCAAGTGATCCCTTGATGTTCGCGACGGACACGTGGTCGGAGAGGATTGGTGAGATCGACGCGTGTAACGGGATTGGAGAAAACGACAAGAAGATCTGAGGGAATTGTGGCGTCGTGAGGGAAGCCGTTGGATTAGGGACACGTATGAGGATGGGAAAATATCCTTTTTTAATTATTATTGTTTTTGTGGTACCGAAAATATCTTTTTGTTGTCGTTACTTTACCTGACTATTTTTACATGTCAGCATATTTGGTGGCGTGTGGGCAAAATGAGTGCATTATCTGAAACTGGAACGGGTGAAGGGTTTCGTCGGATTCAAGATATGACTTCTTCCGGTGACCGGAGACGCGGCGACGGCGGCGATTCGGCCGGGACCCGATTGCTCAGAATCGATTTTGTTCAGGAAACCGTTCGCGACAAAGAAGCTTGTAAGCGCACAGTCTCTCTTCACCGTATTTTATTTTTACCCATTCGTTTCGAAATCGGAGGTCGATTTTGGGTTTTGAATTAGGTATAGTTCTTCGATAAGTATAGAGAGCTGGAGAGGACAGCTCCTTTTTCTCTCGCTTTTATTTGGGACCACACAGTGGATTTGCTACTGGACCTGGAGTTACTCTGCTCTCTGGGTAAAAGTACGGGAAATGTCATGATGGTAAAAGAAAGAAGGTGGAAGTAAATTCAACACATCCTAAAATGGCTACACGTTAAGAAAAGCTGCCAGGTTTTGAGGGTTTCAATCTGGCCCTTCTGGGCAAAAGCTATCATCTTTAAGATAGAAATGAGATGCCAATGGCAGAACAAGGAAATGAAATTTCAGCAAGTTTTAGAGCTGCAACCATAAGGTAAAGAAGGAGAGAAGAAAGGTAGGAGAAAAAAAGAGCTGCTGCAAACCATGGAAACCTTTGGAATGAAGGATGGTGGGCAGAACAAGAAGGCAACGACCACCTTTGGGATGATACGCAGGGGAAATGCTTCTGCTATGGAGAAGATGAAGCCCCATTTCTTCAGGGTTATGCTTGATTTCATGTTGCAGGATTCCAAAATAGTAAGTACTCATTTTCCCCCCTATGTGATCCCTTTCTGATTCAACTGGTGATTTCCTTTTCTCTGCAAAGTTTTATGAATTTCTTCAGTCTGGTTGTCAAATCTACTTCCAAAGCTGAAAACTTCTGTCTATGCTTGTTTAGGGTTTCAAAAAAGATGAAGCAAATGTGTAGAATCTGGCTTGTAACTAGCTTTCGTTTGTTTGCTTGCATTGCTTTGACAATGGTTTTTTTTGTTTTCCCCATCTGAAAAAGTAACCGGCACCAAGAACTGACAAATTGTTGCTTTGTGTCAGTACATTCCTACGGAGTTTGTGAAGAACTATAGATCCAGGCTAGGGAGCTCTGCAACCTTGAAGGTTGCTAATGGTGATACTTGGGAAGTAGAGCTGGTTACTGATGATGATGGGCTGATTTGGTTGGTCAAGGGCTGGGAAGACTTCACAAACCACCATTCTTTGAAGCAAGGTGATATTCTGGTGTTTCGGCTAGATCAGAACAGCTTATTTCAAGTCATGATTTTCGAACCCTCTGCCAGCGAGAAGAACTACCGCTGCAAGGACGTAAACGACCTTGGAAAGCTGTTGAATGATATCAAAGTTGAGGAGGAATGTGATGCTGGGAAGGAGAAAGGTAGTGGAACTTTTGAGAAAATAGGAAATTTGACAGGCCATTGTATTTTTTTTTCTTCTGTTGAACAGAAGGTTCTGAACATGAAAGACTAATGCAGAAGTTCGTTTCTTTCCATGGACCAGTTCCTGCTGGAAAGCTGAAGGAAATCGAAACCAAGAAGAGTGGTGGAGGGAAGAGAAAGGTTAAATTGGCTGTTCCATTTGAGATTCCAAACCATCCATTGGAGACAAAAGTGAAAGGTAACATTTACTATTTGCTTGCTTTGTTTTCTTCATGCTACGAGTTTTATACCTTCCCAAACTTGATAAAGTTTTGCTTTGGCAGAGTGAGGTTATGTTTCCTTCTCGATTGATGCATTTACTTATGCTTGGTCTTTTATTCTGCTAGCTTTTCACCTTGTCAAATATGTAGTTTTGCTTTTGCATCAACAGAGTGAAATTGAATGCTTGCATTGTCAATTGATGCATTTTACATATGCTCCCACGAGCTCAAAATTCGACCAAATTTGATGCAGGAATATCACAACCAAGGAGGTGCAATGCCTCTACGAGCTCAGACAATCCAAACTTCTTCATCACCATCAGTGAAGCACACATGACACATCGTTACATGGTAGGTTCATTCAGTTCCATCAAACGAATTTACCATTTTTTCAAGGAAGCTTTGCATAACCAAATTTGAAAGCTGCCTCTCTCTTTGAATGTGCAGCTTCTGCCTACTAAATTTGTGTATGAACACATGATACCTGCACATGGTACTATGCCTGAAAGTCGCATTGTGATGGTTTCGAGTGAAGACGGGGTCGACTCATGGTCATTGTCCTTTGTCTTTCATCAACGACATGGAGGTGCACGTGGACAGGGCTTGTTCATTGGCGGTTGGCCCGCGCTCCGCAGAGGCAACTCTTTGAAATCAGGGGATGTTTGCCGGTTCGAGCTCATCTCCGATGGCCAAATGAAAGTGAGTATTCGGAGGGCTTAAGGATGGTTGCATCTGCTGAAAGTTTGAGAACCTCTAGAATGGAGTTTGTTGTGTTTGTTCGTTGTGTGTGTTTACTTATGGATGATGATGAAGCTTATGAAACCACTACAGCTTTTCGTTAAAGGAATTAATGGGATAGTGTAGTTTCATGTGGGAGGGAGTGGTAAGACGTTTGTTGATGCTTTGTTTTGGTTTCTGAAGCAAGGCATGAGTTGTGCTTTATGGCTTTCCATGGCAAAACTCTGTTATCAAGTTACTTTCTGATAGTAGTTCTGCTATTTGACTAGATTGAAAGTTATCTTGTTTATGATTGTGATTATTATTGATCATCAATTTGGCTAGCATACTTACAAGATTCTTTTAAGCACACGTTTATGTCGCGGATTGACGAAGCCTTAGCAGTTAGCACGCCCCTAAATTACACTATCCATTAGTCCCCCGGCGATAACAAATTGTTCTCAATCTTAGATCATCATCCCTAAAACACAACCAACTCCATTCCAACAAGGTCCGAAGCTTCGACAGAGCACATATCACTGTTGAGCTATCAAACACAATTCATGGGGAACTTCAAGATCCCAAAACTAACAAAGGCTTAGGCCTTAGCCACTGTCCGAATTATAGTACTTGTCCCATTAAATCCCTAAACCACAAAGCTTCAAACACAAGCAAACCAACCAGAGCCTTAATGCCTCTCGATAGTCACCTTCATTTGGCCATCGGAGATGAGCTCGAACCAGCAAACGTCTCCTAGTTCAAGAGCGTTGGCCCTACGGAATGCGGTCCAACCACCAGCAAAACTGCCCCGTCCACTGGTGCGTCCATGGCATACACTAAAGATAAAGGACAAGTCCCATGAACCCGACCCGTCTTCAGCAGAAACCTTCACATTACTACTTTCAGGCTTCATGTGGTTAAACACAAAAGCACTCGGCAAAGCCTGCACATTCAGTGAGAGAGAGAGAGTGATCCATCAAGGTCCAAACGAAACCTGCTTAGAATCGAAGTTGTATCCTTTCGATATGAATTAATCAACTTACTGTGAAGTGCTTCTTCATGTTATATCCCATCATCGTAATAGAGAAGCTTGGATTCGTCGAGCTTGTTGAGGCATTGCCCCTCCTTGGTCCCAGTGTTCCTGCATCAAATGGAGTCATGATATGAACTATGGAATGAAAGCATTCAACTCACTTTTTCCATCGAAATTACATATTACCGAGGCTATATCGATCACAATGTATCAATCTGACAAAGGAAAACACAAAACTCAATATGCCTTGGCAAACTTACCCATTTGGGAAGGTTAGAAACTCACAGCATGAAGAAAACAAAGCATATAGTAAATGTTACCTCTCATATTTGTCTCCAATGGATGGTTTGGAATCTCAAATGGAGCAGCCAATTTCACCTTTCTCTTCCCTTCTCCACCACTTGTTAGAAACAAAGTTTCTAACGGTTGTAGAATTGGGGAAAATAGCCTGACCAACTAGGGATTGATCAAGCTAGGGATTAGAATTAGGGATTTTAGGAAGAAGAAAGGGGAGGGATGGCTGCCGATCGGCCAAGGGAGAGAGAAAGAGAGAGGGAATTCGGCGCTGGAGAGAGAGAGAGAGAGAGAGATTAGGTTTTGGGTTTTCTGTAGTTTATTGCTTAATGACAAAATAACTCCCTACTGCAGATTATATAATCCGCAAAATACCCAACTGCTACCCACATAATGAAAATACCCCAAATGATTCCCCCAATTATCAAAAACCGACAATAATACGAAATAATGAAAAGCTGTAAATTGTTTGTTTCTAACATCCCCGCCTCCATGGGAAACAACCTTGTCCTCAAGGTTGCGGCTTCTCTTGCTCTGCTCCGGATTCCTCCGCCATCTCATCCTCCGCCTCATCTTCCCATCGTCCCACCAAGAACATCAAGTCAGGCTTCCCGCACTTGTGACCAAAGGTAAACCGCTCGTCACAGTTGAAACACTTCCCTTCTCGCCTCTTCTGCTCGATCTCTGCAGGAGATAGCGTCCTAAACCCCTTGGGCGGTGGCCTTGGTCCCGCTCGAATGACAGCCGAAGGTGGGCCAGCCGCCGCACCCCCTCCCGAACCAGACCCCGATGCAGCTGCGCTCGCTCCTCCACTAGCGCTGATACCACTGCCTCCTCCTCCGACCGGTTTCTGATAGCGGCCTATCACGCCCCTCCAGCTAGCCAGCTCCTCCTCCTTGTTACCTGCAAGACGGAAAACAGCTCGAAGTGAATCGGGCTCAAATACTCGAACAGCTGCTGCGATCTCTGGGCGGAGTCCCGCCATGCATAGACCCACCAAAGTCTCCTCCGGCACGCCCTTGCACTGGTTACCCAGTTTGAAGAACTCAGCTCGATACTCCGCCACTGTCCCAGTCTGGCGCAGCTTCGCCAACTGCTCCGGGGCCCACCCTTCCGACTTGCCAAACTGATACCTCAACTCCTCCTTGAACATCGGCCAAGTAATCAGCGTCCGAGCTTCAGCGTAGGTCCGCTCCATCCATTCCCACCACTGCAATGCATCCCCCTCCAAATAGAAGGACGCCAACTGAGCCTTCCGTTCCTCTCTAGTGGGATGGTTCTTGAACCACCGTTCTGCAGAGTATATCCACAGACCTGCATCCTCCCTGCCATTGAATTTTGGAAACTCAATGGTTGGGGGCTTAGCTCGGAACACCATCTCATCTTCCCCTTCACCACCACGGAAGTGGCCAGCATGCCTGCCACACCCCGGGGCCTCGCGGTGGTAATGCTGCGAGTACCGGTGTCCCCCTTCATACTCCCACTCCTCCTCCTCCTGATACCCCCGTCCTCGGCCCATCTCAGTTCTCTGCCTCTGATCACCAGTTCCTGAGCCCATGAATTCTCCCCCAGTGCCGTACTGATTCACAAACGGGGGCTGATTACCACTAAACTCGTCAAACTGACCTGGACGGGCTGGAAATCCTCTGCTGCCCGTTCCCCCCGTGCGCACAAGCTGCTGTCCCGGGTCGGCTCGGGTCCGACCGGGTTCGGTCCGACCGGTTTCGGTCCGACCGGGTTCGGTCCGACCGGGTTCGATCCGACCACTCGGGCCCCGACTCGGCCCGGCTCGGCCCGCATGCTCGGCCCGGCCCACAGGTCCTCGGCCCATGAGGTTCGGCCGGCCTGCCTCCCAGCCGTGGCCCATTCCTCGCCCCTTCCCACCTGGTCCGACTTCCAACCCAGCTCGGCCCATATGGCTTCCTTCATCCCTGCTGTAATCCTCCCCGGGCCCATTCAACTCGTTAGGCCACGGCTCGTGGTCATACTCCTGCTCCAAGCCCATCAACTCCTCTTCATCCAAGCCCGTTTGTAGCTCCGGTTCCACGTACTCGGCCATCTTGGCCTTGCCTCGCGCGCGCGCCCTCTCCTGGGCCGATGGGGTCGGTAGAAGCCCATCCTTGACCGATGGGCCGAAGGTGACTTGGCCCGTACGCGACCCGGTCGGCCGGCTAGGGTTGACCGCCGCACCCCCCGCCTCGCCTGAGCCGCCCGCCCCCTTGCCCTCCGGAAGCCGCGCGGCTCCTCGTCCCCCGAGTTCCTCCGCCACGGCGGAGCCTCCCCCCGGTGCGCCCGTCCCTTCCGGCGGCGGCTGGTCGCCCCCACCGCCTCCGTTCCCGCCTCTCTTCCAGGCCTCTGTCAGGCTGCTCACCTGCCCCACCAGCGATTCCACCGCTGCCGTCAAGGCCTCGAGGGTGCGGTTTTGATCCCTAGCCCTCGCCTGCAGCTCCCCCAACTCCTCTTCCACCCGCGCCTGTCTCCGCGCCTGCGCCTCCAAGTCCCTCCTCAGTTCCTCCACCCCTGTCAGATCCTCCACAGACCCCTCGACCTCGTCATCACCAGCCTGATTCGCCTTCTCCGCTTTCTCTGCTGCCTTCATGGATTTCGTCGTTACCATCGTTGATTCTCCGGTTTCTATGCTGTCCCTGATGGAGTTGAGCAGAACTCACCGATCGAAACCGGGCTCTGATACCAGATGTTAGAAACAAAGTTTCTAACGGTTGTAGAATTGGGGAAAATAGCCTGACCAACTAGGGATTGATCAAGCTAGGGATTAGAATTAGGGATTTTAGGAAGAAGAAAGGGGAGGGATGGCTGCCGATCGGCCAAGGGAGAGAGAAAGAGAGAGGGAATTCGGCGCTGGAGAGAGAGAGAGAGAGATTAGGTTTTGGGTTTTCTGTAGTTTATTGCTTAATGACAAAATAACTCCCTACTGCAGATTATATAATCCGCAAAATACCCAACTGCTACCCACATAATGAAAATACCCCAAATGATTCCCCCAATTATCAAAAACCGACAATAATACGAAATAATGAAAAGCTGTAAATTGTTTGTTTCTAACACCACTCTTCTTGGTTTTCACTTCCTTGAGCTTCCCTGCAGGAAATGGTCCACGGAATGAAACAAATTTCTGCGTTAAGTCTTTCAGGTTCAGAACTTTCTGTTCAACATGAACATAACAATACAATGAGCTGTAAAATTTCATATGTCCTCCAACCTGTCTCTTTCCCCACATTAATTTCCTCCTCAACTTTGACCTCATTGAACATCCTTCCAAGGCCATTCACATCCTTGCAACGAAACTTCTTCTCGCTGGCAGTGGGCTCGAACACCATTACGAGAAATAAGCTGTCCTGCTCTAGCCGGAACACCACAATATCACCTTGATTCAAAGAATGGTGCTCTGTGAAGTCTTCCCAGCCCTTGACTAGCCAAATCAGCCCATCATCATCAGTAGCCAGCTCTACTTCCCATGTATCACCATTAGCAACCTTCAATGTTGCAGAGCTGCCAAGCCTGGATCTATATTTCTTCACAAACTCAGTCGGAATGTACTGATGCAGAAACAGCAATTTGTCAGTTCTTGGTTCAGGTTACTTGATCAGAAAGGGAAAACAAAAACCCATTGCCAAAGCAATGGAGACCAATAAAACAAAGCTAGCTGCAAGCTAGATTCTACACATTTGCTTCTTCTTTTATGAAACCCTAAACAAGCACAGACAAAAGTTCTCAGCTTTGGCGATAGGTTTGACAATCAGACTAAACAAAACTTCAGAAACTACTGCAGACAAAGAAAAATCACCAGTTGAATCAGAAAGCATCACAGAGGAGCAAAAAAAAAGAGTTCTTACAATTTTGGCATCTTTCAGCATGAAATCAAGCATGACCCTGAAAAAATGGGGCTTCATCTTCTCCATATCAGAAGCATTTCCTCTGCGTATCATCCCAAAGGTTGGTTTTGCCTTCTTGTTTTGCCTACCATCCTTCATTCCAAAGCTTTCCATGGTTTGCAGGCAGCTCTTTTTCTCCTCCCTTTCTTCTGCTCTCCTTCTTTACCTCATGGTGGCAGCTCTATAACTACACTGAAGTCATTTCTGTGTTCTGCAATGGGTATTTCATTTCTATTTTTTTTTATCTTAAAGATAATAGCTTTACCCTAAAGTAACAGATTTAGTCCGCTGTAAAACCATGGCTGCTTTCTTAACTTGTAGTCATTTTAGGGTGTTCAAATTTACTTTCACCTACTTTTACCTTCATGACATTGTTGAGGGCAGTAACTCCAACCTACCAACTAACCAATTCTCCTTCACTTTTCCTTTTCCTAGAAGAAATGTGTTCAGAAGGTCAAACACAGGTTCCTAGCAGTTGAGCTTGATCATTCCTACAAGTCACAGAAAACAGGGGAGGAAGAAACCAACAACAAAAAGCCATTTCTGCTACCCAGTGGTGGCTGAAAACAGATGGGAAACCCCAACTAACAACACAACCATAAAGAAAAATGACAAAATTGGAAGAATTCAAGCAATTTACATATTTCTAAGGTGGGGGGTGAGCAAAAGCAAGAAACTTCCCTTCATTTTCCCCTAGTCATGGCCATGTCTCAAAGAGCCACCGCCATTTTGGCAACGAGGCTCATTGCCTTGATCGCCACGCTTATCGCAGCCGTCGTAATGGCGTCGAGCCACGAGAAAGGCTCCATCTTTGGAGCCATATCTTACGAAGCTAAGTACTCCGACACCCCTGCCTTCAAGTAAGTTTAGCCATTTTCATGCAATCCTGTCTACAATAATATACAAACACAACTCTCAAAATCCTCTGTTTTCCAGATACTTTGTGATTGCTAATGTAGTGGTGACAATTTACGGGTTCCTAGTCCTGTTTCTGCCTTCCGAGAGCCAGCTCTGGAGGCTGGTTTTGGTCTTTGATTTGGTATGCTGACAACAAAATTTGTATGTGAATACTGTGAGCACCAAGGTTTAGATTGCTATCTTATGCTCTTGTTGTTGTTGTTTGTTTGTTCTTATTGTTAGGTGCTGACGATGCTGCTTGTGTCGAGCATTTCGGCAGCTCTGGCGATTGCACAAGTTGGGAAGAAAGGCAACTCTCATGCTGGTTGGTTGCCTGTGTGTAACCAGATTCCCAAATACTGCAGCCAGACGACGGCAGCCTTGGTGGCAGGATTTGTTGGGCTCGTAGTTTACTTTCTTCTTGTTTGCTACTCCATTCACCGTGATTTGGATCCTTTCCTTGTTCGAAAGAATTAGCCTTTCATGCACTTTTTACCTCTAGCTCGCTCAACAGAGAAACTAACCTGTTCTAACTGCAAATAGTGGAGGATTTTTATGGGTGCATTTCACTGATAAACTAACTAGTCAGGAAGGCATTATTACGTATGACGGTATGAGCAGAGGAAGTTGTTCAAAAAACAGAGGATATCAAGGAGCCTACTTCTGAATGATGCTTCATCTCCATAAGCATTTGTGAGTGGAGGGTTACACAATTATGCTACTTCATTTGGTTGTTCACGACTTTTTATCGTAGTATCATACACAAACGTATTGTTTCTTCGAATCTAAGGCGTAAGTATTTGCCGCGAAGACAAAGATAAAATGAAGAAACAAAACCAAGTCATTGTCATTGCGAGATTGAAATAATCATCTAGTCATTTTGGCCGTTAAGTTTCTCTTAATAGTCCAGATTAACATGTCAAACTTTCAAAATTTGAATAATAAAATACATATATCAACTTGGCCTCGAAATCTAACGATGATAATTAACGAATCCACTGTTTTCGAGAATGTAAGTTCAGTGATCGATTTGTGGACGACCCGAAAAGATTAGTGACCGTTAATGTAATTTACCCTTTCTTTCTAAAGAATAGGATAGGGAACCAGAACCATATCTCGTATCTATTCTCCAGAGAGAGACAGAGGTTGGGCTCAGAGCATAATCACCAACTCTCTAACCAGAGCACCATAAAAAGCAAAACAATGTTGAGCCTCTCAATTGCTACACCACTTCCCAAGCCTTCCCTTCCACTTCCTAAATCCGGGTTCTCCGGCATCCAACTGAACCAAACATGTCTTCTCCCGCCGCTTCGAGTTCGCCCCCGGACGGCGTACAGGGCTGCCGGGACTCCGGCGGCGTCGGTGGTGATGATGGCGAAGAAGGACGAGGAATTGAAGGAAATCAGAGGACTGACCACCGACGAGATCAACGAGCAGGTTGTTGACCTTAAAGGCGAGCTCTTCATGCTTCGCCTGCAGAAGTCCGTCAGGAATGAGTTCAAGTCCAGCGAGTTCCGCCGTATGCGCAAAAGGGTACCCTTTTTCTCCTTCGTTTCTCTAGCATTGTCTCATAGGAAATGTGTTTGGTTTTGAGAAGGCTTTGGATAGAGGGTAAAGAGTACTGTCTGTTTGGAAAGAATGGTGGAGTGATTTGGAAGTGGTATTTGCTGTTAGCTGTTAGCTGTTAGCTTCTCGGCAATGGTGGCCAGGTCTGAATTGATGAAATTTTGGTGCTTTAGGTTTCGGAAGTTGGAACTTGGTAGCTTAATTTTAGAGGGTTAACATTGGTTTGGGAAAAGCATTCTGGTAAATTGAGGCTTGGATGCGAGAATTTGAGGATTGATGGTAACTATGATGCCCGAGCTTAACTTGTTATGATACCCTTGAGATCTATGTCATCATCGATATCTATCTGACTCAAAGAATGTTGGAATCCATGCTTTAGTGGCTTTTATTGTCTGCCTAATCTTTGCAATGTAGGGATCAAATGAGCTTTATCTGCTACCAGGGATAGAAATAGCCTACTGGTCATCACAGGTGGTTGGCATAAAAGATGCATTGTAGCAGATACTATGCTTCCTGGCCAATCCATTTGCAGGTTTAAGGAGTTACTTAGCTTTGTCGTCTTGATAAGGTTATGATAGAGTTGAATGATGAATTACTGTTCCATGAGATCTTCGCCAAGCAGTGGCGAGCTTCCGGAGTATTTTCCGGCTGAACCATGTTTTTGTTTTACTAGCGATGGTTCAATTTGCACGATAGATGTGAGATACATTCAAACTTTGATTTCATAACATTCTGTGTGTGAAAGACTGAGTTCCTCTCTTTTCAATCCATGAATGCAGATTGCACGCATGTTAACAGTTAAGCGTGAGAGAGAGCTTGAAGAGGGTATCAACAAGAGGTTATCAAGAAAGCTTGACCGGCAATGGAAGAAAAGCATTGTTGTCAGACCACCTCCGTCTTTGATCAAGTTGCGAGAGGAAGAAGCAGCCGAAGAAGCTGAGAAATCTGCTTGAGACAATCAAACACAGCTCTGGAGAACTTTCTTTGGTACCTCAAATTTTCAGATAATGTTGTATAATGTCAGTATCTGTACTTGATTATGTTTCCTTTTCAATGTCATCTTGGAATTATGATTAGCATGATTGTAAGTTCCCTGAATACTTTTTGAAATGAAGAGTTATTCAGAATTATAGGTTTCATGTTTATCCATTCTGCTTTGTCAACAGTATAGCCTAAAGCAGTCTAAAACCTGCTTGAGAAAGGACATAAGAAAAGGAGAGTTTTTATAGCTTCGACTTGATTTTCCTATATTCTTGGGCTGGACTAAGGCAGCCATTAATCAAAAGCTTCAGCCTTTTGCTTGCTAACAGATCGCCGGTTTAATTTCTTCTCATCCCTATAGCAAATTTTACTTGTCACGTCATATACACAAAGCAGAAGTTTTAGCTCAGCATTTAGTAATGGCTATTAGCATAACAAATTCTTTCTGAAGGAACACATTTCTCAGAAGAACATCAATGATTTAAGCCTTTGTTAGATTTTAGAATCAACTCCCAACTGTTTCATTCTGCATATCAGAAACATTCACAAACCATAGTTAATGGAAACATCAACATAAGCTGATAACATTTAGCAGAGGATTAGCAACATGATCAGAAACTGAACAGTCTCCTTTAGCAATCTAGAATCGTCCCAGCTGTTTAGTTCTACATATCAGACACATTCCTTAGCATTAGTTAAAGAGAAACAACAGCATAAGCTGATAATATTCAGCAGAGGATTAGCAAACATGATCAGAAACTAAACAGACTCCTTTAACAACCTAACGTGATAATCATTCTCGAAACCAACTTAAATAAACAACCCAACTTTCCAGCTAGCAAGTAGCTTCTCTCTAAGAACAACGCAGAATATGAACTGTCAGAACACCTTCAGTGGCTGTGGGCACGATTATGAGAGTGTCCCCTACTTTTAAAGAGTTCTGACGCGCAAATGCTAACCAGCCTCTAGAAAGAGTAGGGACACCGTGGTCTGATACAATTCCCACAGGCCATGTCTCTTGTTCAACCCGAATATCCAACATTTTATCTTTCCAATTGGTGATATGCCTCTGAACAAACCCTCCCTGCATCCTCTGCAAATAGAAACTTTTTCAGTTGTATGCACTAGATGAACCACTACAATAAAACACTGTTTGTTTGTGACGACCTACCAAGCCTTTCTTTGCCAAAGAATTTTTTGAGATAATGACTTGGAGAAAATCAGTTTGCGAAGCAAACCCATTTGCAGCTTCAATTGTAGGTCTACTGTGCCGTGAGCTTGGAGGTCCCATAGAAGCACTTTCGACTATCAGAGAATATAAGACAACTTAAATTTCATACATTACTCTGTACGAAACTTAGAAGAAAACACATCTCGGTTCCCGAAAGCTTGGGAGGAAAAATTGTGTACCTTCACGTGCAAACATGAACGGACTTGAGCTTCCGTTAGCTCTGCTTCTCCTTGGAGGTTCCTTGTTCACTTTCACATTCTGTCCACCCTCAGCTGTTCTTCTCTTTTTCCCTGCAGATATTGACGAAAGTATGATCAAAATGTTGCTCTTCTTCCATGTTTATGTGTTGAACCAATACTCACTGTCACCGGTTCTCTTGTACTCTTCGTGGTTGGCATTCGCAGCGAACCACGACTGTCTTCCACCACCATCTCCATTGTTGTTATTGTTGTTGTTGTAGTTCTTGTCCTTCATCAAAGAGAATCCTGAAAACTCAACAGATATCAAACCATGTAAACCGTTAGAACAAAGAGATTCAAAACATAAATAGCATCTGTTATGACAAGCACCAGTGAATTTTGCTAAATCTTCATCTACAGCTTCAGTAGTTGTGGTTCTGCTGGGCTTTGAGCTGGAAGGTCTCCAAGAAAAGGCTGGCTCATCTGTCACAAATATATCCATGCATCAACAAACATTTTTAACTACTCCTTAAAATGAAAGAAAGTTCCAGTTTTCGGAAAGTTCTGAAAGCAAAAATTATGTACCTTCCTGCTCAGCTATGGAAGGAATACGAGAATTCTCATCTTTGTTCCTTCCAAAGGGGGTTCCATTAGCTCTATCTCTCCTTGGAGCATCCTGGTTCACTTGCCTCCTCTCTCCATCATCTGCTGTTCTCCTTTTCCCTGCAGAGATAGATGAAAAATATGATTAAATTGTGTTTCTTTCTTCCCGGTTTATGTGCTGAGCTGAACGAACAACACTTACTAGCACTCGTAACCCCTTTTTGCTTGGGATTCTCTGCAGACCGCCGCTGGGCTGGCTGCCTTCCGACACCTTCATCATTGTTGTTCATCTCCTTAACCTCTGACGGGCCTGCACACACCTCAGCAACAAAAAAATCAAGCCATAAATGAACCTTAAACACAAAGAGGTTCAAAACAGCAGCAAGGTTTTTTTTTTTTTTTGTTATAAAGTAGTAGGAAAACAAAGTTGAAATTGACAAGTTACCTAAGATCTCGACAGAATGAGCATATACACTCTCTTCCTCCTCAGCTTCTGGAAACTCCTGGTTTCCATTTGATCCACCGTTGACAAAACTGGAAGCTGGAAACTCCCAGTCTAGCCCATTCGCACCAAGCATCAAAAGCTTAAACCTTGAATAGCTTTTGTACTCAAACAGCAGATAACATCCATGGCTAAGTTTATAGTGATCTACAAACTCCTGCCAACCATTCCTCAGCCAAAACCCGCCACCATCTTCGTAGAGCTCCATCTCCCTCTCCCTTGGATCTCCGACTGTTGGCTCCAGGACTACTGGGTTTGTCAAATTTTCTCTCCCACATTTCTTGAGGAACTCCCCAGGAATCAGCTGATCGATAAACGACAGACATAACTTTGACAAGTAAATGAACAAGCTTTACAAAACCCTAATCTTTGAACATGAAAAAAAGGACAGAACTTTTGGGAAGGGCTCACCATTCTCTTGTGTTTGATGGTGTCTTCAGTGAGCTGCTTCAGGAAATGGGTCGTCATCGGAGTAGTTTTCTGAAGGAGAAGCACTTGCTGTTTTCTTGGTGGGTTGGAAGAAGAGAAAGGAGAAGAATGGAAGAGGAGAGAGGAAGGGAAATGGGTTTGCCTTTGCTGCTATGAGTCCAAGGCAGATTAAGCTTTGTCTGAAAGAGCTTTGGGAAATTTGGAGCTTGCTATTGTTTGCTAAGAATGGCTAAAAGGAAGCAAAGGTGTGTCAGGTTCGGAGCATTTCTGATAGTAGGAAATTTCGTGTCCCACTCCCATCACAGGCCAACATAGCGCGGCCCCTCATTAATTATGGATCATTTTCTTTTTTTTGATGGTTCTTATGGATCATTTTCATTTCCTGCTGAACAGAGGAGATTGTTAGTAGTTGATCTTTTGACTTCCATTGACTTGTTGATGCTATCCAATTCACGACTAAGTTAGAAGTAAGAACAACAGATAAACTTTTTTCACCAAGAATAAAGGGGATTGTGAAGCAGTAGTGTGATGAGAATGGCTGCTTTCGGATTGTGTTAGCTTTCTGAACTCTAGAATGCAATATAACATGAACTGCTCATGGTCTTCGCATTTGCAGTATGTACCCGTTGGCTTTTCAGTTAGGCACGCTGGGGAAGACGAGAAGTCAACTTCAGGTCACGGATAAAACTTGGACAATGGCACTGTGTAGGTACATGAAGGACAAGTATGTATACTTCTGTGAGGGCTGGCCTGAAATTGCAGAGGGTAACCTGCTGAAACAAGGAGACATTTGCATCTTTGAGTGCGTTCCAAGGTGGACTAATGTCTTGCTGAAAGTCACTGTCATTCGAGAATGTTAATTACTACATACACAGCTTTGAGTTCAAGTGCAAGATGGCTGAAAGTTATCTCACCGTCATCGACAACAAAAGCAGTTCACGATTCTTTCAGGTGCTGTTTAGTTTCTTCTCATCCGTACTGCAAATTTTACTTGTAAACCATACACACAAACTAGATGTTCTACCTCAGCATTTAGTAATGGCTATTAGCACAACAGATTCTTTCTGATGGAACAGATTTCAGATGAATTTCAAGAACACGGACTAGATGGGCCTAGTAAAATCAACATCAGCTTTTGTGAGAATCACTCCCCGACTGTTTACTGTGACATATAAGAAACTCATTAACATAAGTTGACAGCACAACGTAAGCTGATAGCATCCAACAGAGGACTAGCAACATGATCAGAAACTTAACTGAGTCCCTTAACTACTTACCAACCATGACAACCATTCTCAAAAGCTACCTAAACTGAAATTCCAACTTCTCAGCTAAGCTAACAAGCAGTAATCGGCTAAGAACAACGCAAAATGTGAACGCTGAGCACATCTGCAGTGGTAGTAGGCACAAATATAAGAGTGTCCTCTGCTTTCAGAGAGTTATCACGTGCAAATGCTGGCCAGCCTTTGGATAGATAAGGGCAACCGTCGGCTTTTTGGATGATTTTCACATGCCATTTTTCTTCTCCTACCTGAAGCTCCACCATTTTCCCAATCCAATTTGTGATGTGCCTCTGAATAAACTCTCGCTGAATCCACTGCAAAGAGAAACAAAGAAAAGGAAATCTGGTTGTTTGCCTAGACGAACCATTATAACAAAGCACGGTTTGTTTGTTTGTCTGTGACAACTTACCAGGCTACCTCCTTTCTTGAAACTTTTCGGGATAATGACTTGGCAGAAATCTGGCTGTGAAGTCAACTCATCTGCAGCTTCATCCGTTGTGGTAGTTCTACCACACTTTGAGCTGGAAGTTCTCTTGGAAAAAGCTGGCTCATCTGTGATAAATACATTCATCCATCTGTAAAACTTGGAAGAAAGCACATTTTTCAGTGTTTGAAATTTGGAAAGTAAGAGTTTGTACCTTCCATGGATGGAATGTGAGAGTTATCAGCCTTATCCCTTCCAGAGGGGCTCCCGTTACCTCCGTTTCTCCTTGTAGCTCTCCTATTCACTCTCATTTGCTCTGCACCCTCAGTTGTTCTTCTCTTTTTGCCTGCAGAAATTGAAGAAAGTATAATAAACTTTGAGCTCTTTCTTCACCTTTTATATGCTGAACCAACAACACTCACTGCCAGTGGGTCTCATGAACTCTTTGTGTTTGGCATTCTCGGCCAAACACTGATGCGCCTGCTGTCTTCCACTGCCTTCACTATTGTTGTGATTCATGTCCTTCATCATAGATAACCCTGCAAATATCAACAGAAATCAAACCATGTAAACCAGAAAAAAAAAAAACAAAGAGATTCAAAACATAAAGGGGGGGGGGGGGGGGGGGGTGTTTGTCATGACAAGCACTTAGGAGTCTTGCATAATCTTCATCTACAGTAGTTGTAGGTCCGCCAGGCTTTGCGTTTGAAGGTCTCCTAGAGAAAGCTGGCTCATCTGTCACAATTATATCCATGCATCAACAAGCATTTTCACAGCATCCTAAACAGAAAGCACATTTCAGTTTTGGTAAAGTCTGGAAAGCAAAAATTATGTTACCTTCATGCTCAGTCATGGAAGGAATACGAGAGCTCTCAGCCTTATCCCTTCTAAAGGGGTTTCCATTAGCTCTATTTGCCCTTGGACCTTCCTGGTTCGCTTTCCTCCACTCTCCATCATCAGCTGCTCGCCTCTTCCCTACAGAGATCGATGAAACTATAGTATCAAATTGGTGTTTCTTTATTCCCTTTTTATGTACTGAGTTGAAAGATCTAACACTTACTAGCACTCATGACCCCATTTTGCTTGGCATTCTCTGCACAACGCGGCTGAGCTGGCTGCCTTCCGCCACCTTCAACATTATTGTTCATCTCCTTAACTACTGATGAGCCTGCACACACCTCAGCACCAGAAAAACAAAGCCACAAATAAACCCCAAACACAAAAGAGGTTCAAAAACAACAGCAAGGGTTTTGCTGTAGAAAACAAAAGTTGAAAATGGACAAGCGACCTAAGATCTCCACAGAATTAGCATCGACACTCTCTTCCTCTTCATCCTCTGGAAACTCCTGGTTCCCATTCAATCCAACATTGACAAAACCGGAAACTGGAAGCTCCAACTCCAGCCCATTTGCACCAAGCATCAAAAGCTTAAACCTCGAGTAGCTCCTGTACTCAAACAGTAGAAAACATCCATGGCTGAGTTTGTAGTGATCCACAAACTCCTGCCAGCCATTCCTCAGCCAAAGCACGCCACCATCTTCGTAGAGCTCCAGCTCCCTCTCCCTTGGATCACCAACGGTTGGCTCCACCACTAGTGGGTTTGTCAGATTTTCTCTCCCACATTTCTTCACAAACTCCGCAGGAATCAGCTGATGCACAAACAGAGACAAAAAAAAAAAAAAATTGAACCCTAACCTTTGAACATGAAAAAGGACAGAACTTTAATGGGATTACCAGTCTTTCATGTGTGATGGAATCTTCAGTGAGCTGTTTCAGGAAATACGTCATAGTTGGTTTATTTTGAAGGAGAAGCACTGGTTGTTTCTTTGGTGGGTTTGAAGAATAGGAGAAGAGAGAAAGGAACTGTCGCAGAGAGAAAATGGACAAGGGAAATGGTTGCCTCTTTGTTGAATGAATTCTCAAGGCAGATGAAAATTTGCCTGAAAGAGCTGTGGGAAACTTGGAGCCTGCTAGTGTTTGCTGAAAATGGCTAAAAGGAAGCACTAGTGTCAGGTTTGGAGTATTTCTGAAATTATGATTATGGGGAAAATGTGGGGTCCACCAAACAGCAGCCCCCTAATTAATTACTAAATTAGTATTAATTATCATTTTTAAGAATAAATTTCAGTAGGACCTGCATTTCCCACATTTTTGTCATACGGTGCTTAAGAAATTAGAAAATGGAAGAAGAAAAAATCAAATTTATCCTTTTCTATTTTTGTTAAACCTTGTAATTTTGTAGATGAGTTGGTAATTTTATGGGCCAAAATTATGTACCAAGGCGTTGAAGAGCCCATTTTAAACTGTACCTCGCGGTGCAAATGAGGCAGCCCACTTTATTGGGCCCTATGAAAAAGCCTAACGGTAATAGTTGCAAGCTCCTTTTCTGTTGGCCTGCCGGAGAACAGCTAACCGCCGCCGGCAAGCAGCTCCCTTTCCCGTCCCGTTCGAACTTGGAAGACCAATTACCGACACTCCAATTTTCCTCTGCCATTTGTCTCGCGTTTTTTAGACCATATGGCACAATCTCCGTCGTCTTCCTCTCTCTCTGATTAATAGAAAGCAGAACCAGATTGCGACAAGAGCCAAGATGTTCCCTTCAGAGTCAAAGATGACTTCTTCCGGTGAACGGAGACCCGACGACCACGGTAGCAACCTGGTCGGAGCCCGTTTCTACAAAATCATTCTCCAGGAAACCGTTCGCGACAAGAAGCTCGTAAGCGCAAATCTCTCCCTCCCCCATTTCTTACCCACACTCTGCCAAAACTGGAAGCTGGCTTTGTGGGGGTTTTGTTCAATCTTTCATTTTCAACATGCATGCTTCATTTCGCAGTTGATTCCGTCGAGGTTCGTTACAAATTGCGGGGAGGGTTTGTCGAACTCTGCAATTCTGAAGGTCCCAAGTGGGCTGAGCTGGACGGTGGGTCTGGTGAGGGATGAAATTGGGGTCTGGTTTAGGAATGGATGGCACGATTTTGCAGAATTTCACTCATTAAGATATGGGCATTTCCTGGTTTTCGAGTACAAGGGTTGCTCCAGTTTCTATGTAGTTATATGTGATAGAACAGCTGCAGAGATTGTGTATCCGATCACTAAAGTTGCTAGCAACCAGCAGCCTGCTGATGAAACTGGAAGTTTTTTACTTGAACCAAAAGTTGAGGTGATTGAAGATGTCTCTGATGAAGTGGATGCGCCCCAAAGAAGCAAGGGTAAGTCCCCAGTCGAGGTTTCGCAGTCTCGCTGTAGGAAGAACGACAAGAAGAATGTGCGGGGTAGTTCGTCTAGAAATGGCAAAGTGAGGATGGAGAGTTGCAGTAAGGAAAGTGCAGAAGGGCATGAATCATCTGCACAAGGGATTGGAAGTGAGTGTTCTTCCACTTTCTTTTAGATGTGTAACTTTCAAAACTTGTTCTCGCTGCTAGTGTTGGCTTGTGATTCTTGTGGATTCTTCCTTTGTGTGTTATCGTACAATGTAGGCAATTCGGTGGAGTTGGGAGTCAAAGAGGAAGAAGGAGGTGATGAGATGATCCATGAAGAGCCTCCATTTGTGAGGGGACGTAAGCCTATCACTGGATTCACCTCACCACATCCATTTTTCGACTGCCGGATGACTTCTAGTACTTTGTCAAGGAAGCAATTGGTACGTTGTATACTCGGCTGAGTATTTCTCAGCTAAGAACAGTAGTGTGATAAGAACTGCTGCTTTAGATTTGTGTTTGTTTTCTTAACTCATGAATACAGCATAACATGAACTCTTCATGGTCTTTGAATTTTCAGTATTTACCAGCAGGCTTTTCAGTCAGGCACATTAGGAAAGACGAGAATTCATTGAAGCTTCAGGTTGCGGACAAAACTTGGCCAGTGGCACTAGTTAGGTTCACGAAGGACAAGTATGTGTACTTCAGCGACGGCTGGCTTGAATTTGCAGAGCAGAACTCTCTGAAACAAGGAGACATTTGCATCTTCGAGTGCATTCACAGGTGGACTAACGTCCTGCTGAAAGTCACCATCGTTCGAGAATGTTAATACGAACTAGGAATGCTATTTATCCTTTCTGTATGTGTGGAAAGCTAGCACCCGGGACAGTGCAGATAGCTAGTTCCCTGTTGTGTATTATCGAGAAATAATGACTTCTGTTGCCAAGTTCCAAATGAAGCTTCTTCTTCATTGTTTCTTTTAGCAGTCAGACAAACGCAGTTGAGTCTGCCTGCTATACCTTCCTGTTTGCCATCTCTGCCAGACTACTCAAACTGGGTATTCATAACTTCGAGATGAAAGGCTCCAATGGCTGATACTTTAATATGATGTTAATGGTTAAACTATGGAGTGTTGGCACCACAGACGCAACTAGCAGAAGAAGCAAAGTTAACCAGAAGTAGATACAAAGAATCCCTTATAAGATTCTTGGCCTGAAAGGATATTTAATTGCTTGCAGCAAAAGTCAATAGTGTCACAGTTAAGCCCAGTTGGAATGTTAGATAAAACCAAATTAATCTCTTTCATTGTGTGGAAAGAAGAGGCAGACGAAGACTTTTCTGTGTGGAACTTAATAAAAGCACACCCACCACATCAAATGAGAACGTCTTAAGCACTCATAGCCTACTTGCCGCCGGTCAACCCGCCGGCTCTTTCTTCTTCCTTTCCTGCGCACAGCTTTGAGTTCCATGTGTGCCTGTCGGACCCCCTCGAAACTGAGACTCGGCGGTAAGTGTTTCTGAACTTCCATTAATCAACTACAATGCATACTTCTGATAGGTGCCCCTAATAAGAATGCGAGTTGATTTGTCAATGGCGGTTGGATAAGTTCGAAACATGTCTAGTTCAACCATTAGTTTGTGTTGAATGACATTGCTGTCATTCAATGTTTATTAACGATTCATTTAAGCATAGCTATATACGGTTCAAACTTATCTGCAAACCGCCATTGGTAACATAAGCACCCCATGCTTTTATTCGGCGGCGCTTTTGTTCCTAAAACGGAGAACACGATGCATGAGACGAGTTCTGCTATCAAATGACTACATATGCTGTAGCACCATGATGACTCCGAGGGAATACAAACGGTCATAGTAAGTGTACCAACTCAAAATAGAGGTATGAGGAGATGATGATATAACCCCAACCAAGGTAAACAACAAAGCCACAATTCCCTACACGGACAGAGAGCACTAGTATAAAGAGTTAGCCATCGCCAGCGCTGATTAGAAGTATGTTCGCATGTTAAGTAATTTGTGGTAAGCGGCATTCTAGCATTCCATCTTTATCTACAATACACAATGAACATTAAATTCACGCCTATTTTAAGCAGAAACTATATATGGTTCAGACTTATCCTATCGCCATTAACAACAAGCGCAACCCATGTTCTTATAAGGCGATGCTTTTGTTTCTCAAGAGAGGAAACATATAGCAACCTATATTGCAACACCATGACTACCATCAAAGCATATAGACTATCATAATGAGTTTGTACTTTGTAGTAACTCAAAACAAGAGCTATGAGCCTATGAGGAGATGTTGCTATAACCCCAGCCAAGGTAAAGAACAGAACCACAATTCCATGCACGGACAGAAAGCACTAGAATCAAGAGTTAACCATCGTCAGCGCTGATTAGAGGTATGTCTGCATGTTTAAGTAATTTGTAGTAAGCGGCATTCTCTCATTCCATCTTTATCTACAATACACAATGAGCATTAAATTCACGCCTGTTTTAAGCAGAAACTATACATGGTTCAGACTTATCCTCTCGCCATTAACAACAAGCGCAGCTCATGTTCTTATAAGGCGCCGCTTGTGTTTCGAAAGAGAGGAAACAGTACACACAGGACGACGAGTTCTGCCGGATGACAACATATACCACAACACCGCGTGACGATATCACGAAAGCATACAGACAACCATAATGAGTTTCTCCAAACTCCAAACTACAGCTCTACTCTTAACTCTAAGAGATCATGATATACCCCACGTCGACAAGAAGCATAAGAATCAGAGCATTAAACAACCGCTTGAGTATCTAAAGGAATCCTTTTCCCCAGATTCAGCCCTCCTTCATTAATTAATTGCTCAAAAAGAATAGTCAAGAGTTTCACCAACCCCACTTGTTCTAATATTTATGAACCCCAAACCATCTCTTTCAATTCGCAGCCAAGACGACTTTCAGTTAGATTCCATTGGATCCTCAAAATTCAACTCCCAGCCAGAACTTCCAATTCACTACACTGCCAACGCAGCACAGTTACATTTGAAATTCCTCCACTGAGACTCGGCGGTAAGTGTCAGTCTCTGTTCTCTGAAAACCTCCATGAATTTGCTGTTCTTAAAGCTTTTTCCACACCTCCAAAGAGCCACTGTTACCCTTTTAACTCCTCTGCGAGCCTCCAAACTTCCGCCGCGTGCCTTTATTTCCCTCCTATAAAAACAAGCCCAAAACCCACCAAACATGGAAAACCCAATTCCTTTCACAGCAGCAGCAGCCATGGAAATGGAACCCAATTCAACAGCAGCAACCCATGAAAATGGAAACCAGAGTACCCATGAAAAGCAGCAGCAGCAGCAGCCGCCTAAATTCGCTATCCCGGTCGACTCAGAGCACAAGGCCACGAGATTCCCAATCTTCTCTTTCGCCAAACCCCACATGCGAGCTTTCCACCTCTCCTGGGTGTCCTTCTTCGCCTGCTTCGTCTCCACTTTCGCCGCGCCTCCCCTGCTTCCGATCATCAGGGACAACCTCAACCTCACCGCCACCAACATCGGGAACGCCGGCATTGCCTCCGTCTCCGGCGCCGTATTCGCCCGAATCGTGATGGGGACCGCCTGCGACATGGTCGGCCCCCGCCTGGCTTCCGCCTCCCTCGTTCTGATCACCGCGCCGGCGGTGTTCTTCACTCCCCTGGCTACCTCCTCTGCTTCGTTCCTCCTCGTCAGGTTCTTCACCGGCTTCTCCCTCGCCACTTTCGTCTCCACCCAGTACTGGATGAGCTCCATGTTCTCCTCCCCGGTCGTCGGCACCGCCAACGGGGTCGCCGGCGGGTGGGGGAACCTCGGCGGCGGCGCCACACAGCTCATCATGCCACTCGTCTTCGCTCTAATCCGCGACTCCATGGGATCCCCCAAATTCACCGCCTGGAGGATCGCATTCTACGTCCCCGGCGTTTTCCAGATGCTGACGGCCTTCGCCGTCCTGATCTTCGGCCAGGACTTGCCTGACGGGAACTTCCGGCGGCTGCAGAAAACAGGGGACAAGTCCAAGGACAAAATCTCCGACGTCCTGTTCCACGGGGTTACAAACTACAGGGGATGGATTCTGGCCCTGACGTATGGTTACTGCTTTGGGGTGGAATTGACGGTGGACAATGTGATCGCCGAGTATTTCTACGACCGGTTCAACCTGAAGCTCCACACCGCCGGTTTGATTGCGGCGAGCTTCGGATTGGCGAACCTGTTTTCCCGGCCGGGGGGAGGGATTCTTTCCGATCTGGTTGCGAAGAGGTTCGGGATGAGGGGAAGGCTTTGGACCCTTTGGATCGTTCAGACTTTGGGCGGCGTTTTCTGTGTAATTCTGGGTCGCGTCAATTCCTTGGGCGGCTCCATTGTTGTCATGATCCTTTTCTCCTTCTTCTGCCAAGCTGCCTGTGGCCTGACCTTTGGAGTCGTGCCTTTTGTCTCCAGAAGGTAAAAGAGATGTCCTTTTTGCTACAAATTCTTCTAAAGTATAGTAAAATTAGTCTCTATGGTTCGTGAATTCAGCTAATACGCATTGTGTTCGTGAACCATGTAAATCTGTGCGTTCTTTACTTTCTTGCATTAACGATTTATCAATTCGTTACAACAATTCTAATTACGTAACTTACTCGTACTGTATTTTACTAACTACGCATATGCTGCTGCTGCAGGTCGCTGGGGTTGATCTCGGGGATGACGGGAGGAGGAGGGAACGTGGGAGCGGTGATAACTCAATTGGCATTCTTCAAAGGTTCGAGATACTCGAAGGAGACGGGAATCACGTACATGGGGATAATGATCATCTGCTGCACTCTGCCTCTCTGTTTGATAAACTTCCCGCAGTGGGGCGGCATGTTTACCTCCGGCCGCGGCGACGGCTCGTCTTCCTCATCCGAAGAGGACTACTACATGGCCGAATGGAATTCAGAGGAGAAGAATAGAGGCCTGCATCAGGCTAGCTTGAAGTTTGCCGAGAACAGCAGGAGGGAACGAGGGAGGAGATCGGCTTGCAATACTGCACCGGCGACGAACGACACGTCGTTGTCGCCGCCGGCGGAGTTTGCAGCCTGAATGGAGTCCCAGGTTGAACGTCGGCGTGTAGTAGATTGTGCTGTGATGGTAAATGGTAATGTTATGTTGTTATGCGTGGATGTATGCTTTTGTTTGTGTATTCTGCTAGTACTGTTCCATGTTAGTACTGTTGGAAAACAAATGGACCCTTCAATGTGAAACTTCCTGTGGGTCGGAAATGAAACAAAGTGATATGATAAATTCGGTGCAATTTCATCATTGTATCCTTTTCTTAATGCCAAAAAGTGAAGGCTAAAGAACCATATTTTATCCCAAACGAGGAGCCCGTGTGCACATTTACACCAAAAAGGAGCCTAATTACTATGTGCTATAAAGAATCTGATCATTCCATCTTTATCTGCAATACACGTGAACGTTAAATTACATAAACTTTTAAGAATATCTATATATGATTCTAACTTATTATATCGTCATTGGTAACACTAAGCGACTCGTGCTTTCTTATGTGCCGTTTTTGTTTCTAAAGAGAGGAAATAGTACATCCGACAAGTTCTGCTATCAGATGACAGCATATACTACAATACCATGGCAATCACGACGGCATACAAACAAGCATAGTAAGTGTTACTAACTCAAAATAGAGCTCTGAAGAAGATGTCGATACCCTTAGGTAAGTAATGTGAGTAGCATCGTGTCATTAAATCTTTACACGCAATATACACTAACACTAAATTAGTGATTATTTTAAGCAGAATTATATATGGTTCAAACTTATCCGATCACCATTGACAACACAAGCAGCTCACGCTACTATCAACCTTCATTTTTCCTTCCAAGAAAAGAAAGACAGTACACCAAACAAGTTCTACTATCATACGACAACTTACACTACAACACACACGAATTATGAAAGCTATGACAACCAGCCTGCAGAATTACACCAAAAGGATATTTGCTTCCTCTCATGAACTTCTCAATCAAGCACTCTGATCCTTTCAAGATCGACAAAAACCACTTCTCTTCCACGGCCGCTTCCTCCCAACTTGAGGATCCTTGCCAGCATTACACCTTTCTCTATGTATCTTCACCTGGATCAAACCCGATTCGGGCCTGTAACTGAACTCGATTCTATCTCCGACAGCCACGCGGTTCGCAGCAGCCAAGGCACGCCAACCAGCACTGAACCGTCTCTGAAGCCCCTTCCCTCCCGAGATTACAGAAACTGCCCACAATTTCCCACTTGGGTCCTGAAGCTGAACAGTTTTCTTCAGTGACAGCTTCGTGGCTTCAGAAAATCTCACCGGCATGCACTTCATATAGGCCACAAAGAATGAAAGCAGAGTCAAGGTTTAGATGATTGAAGAAAAACAGGGTTATGAAACTAGTGGAAGGAAATGAACTTGTACCATATAAGTAGAACGTTCCATGTGCTTGTTGTAAACGACTTGGAAGGAATCAGCCAAACCTGGAGGAGCGTTGTTGCCAGAAGAATGGCCTTTTCTCGACTTTGCCTTCGTTGGAGCTCCTCGTTTCCTCTGCAAACCTGGTTTTACATGTACGAATCAAATTCATCAGCTTAAGCAAGTATTCTGCTCTGTTTTGAGAAGGGGAAGAATGCAGAGAAAACAGAGGGAGGGCAGAGAGTGGGGAAAAAAACAGAGGATTTGCCTTTTCTGGGTTTGAGGGATTTCTCTGTTTCTGGGTTCCTTTCATAGCTTGGACGAGGCTTCTTCCTTTCAGGATTTGCAGCATCGGCTCTCTTCCATTGCCGCTTCCCAACTCGAGAATCGTTGCAAGTATTATTCTTTGGATTATGTATCATCACCTGGAAGACACCCGATTCAGACTTGTAACGGAACTCGATTCTGTCTCCAACAGCGACGCCATTAGCGGCAGCAAAGGCAAGCCAACCACCACCGAACCGTTTCATTGTTCCCTTGCCTCCGGAGATAATTGTTACTGGCCAAACTTTCCCGCTTGGATCCTGAAGTTGGGCACTGTTCTTCATTTCCAGCCGAGCAATTTTACATAATCTCAGTGGAATGCACTTCCCCATTGAAAAAAAAAGAAGAAACAATGAAAAAGACAGGATTTTTATGAGTCTAAAATACAGCAACATTGGATTTTTGCAAATGAAGCAGAATCTATGAATTGTGTACAATTACCACACTATGATTCATGTACTTCTTGTAAACCACTTGGAAGCAAGCAGCCAACCCTCGAGGAGCATTCCCAAAAGAATACCCATCTTCTGACTCTGTCTTAATCGGAGCTTCTCGTGGTCTCGACTCTGAACCTTTCGCCACTCCTGAACCAATAACATAAGATGGATTCAACGGTTCGCGCGTGATAAAGCAAAAGATAACTAAAGAAAACAGAGATATAAGGTAGTATTATACCTTTTCGGGTTTTGGGGAGTTGCTCTGTTCCGAGGCTTCTTCCTGTGCTTCGGCGAGGCCTCTGGGGTTGAACTTCTCTTCTCCCCTCTTTCCCCATTCCTAAATCAAACATCAGATTGACAGGCTGATACTTAAGCAAAATGACCGACTGGAGAAAGAGAGAGCAGAAAGTCTTACCGTTTCTGGGTTTTTTGGAGGATGGCTCTGTTTCTTGATTCCTTGCAGGACTTGGACAAGGCTCGTTGGACTGAGCTTCAGCATTTCTCTTGACGCAACCAGTTGGGTCGTAAGAGACAACTTCGACGGTTCTGTGCCCGGTGAAGTTGAAAACCAGATGGTCGCCTTCGTGGAGACCATTGTCCTTGACAAAAGATGGCCATCCAGTTCCGAAGAAATATCCCTTGCTTCCTCTTTCCACGGAGATAACTGCAGGATTTCCAGTATTGGACTTGAAAATGACTTTCCCGTACAAACCTTGGCCGAATTGGTTGATGAATGACTCTGGAATTCTCTGCGGCGAAACAGAGAGACAGAGCAGGGGTGAATGAGTTAAGAGCGGGAAGAAGGAAGATTTGACGGTAGAATAATTGGAAGTGGAACAAGGAATGTTACCAGCAGCTTCATGGATGAACATCCAGCCAAAACTTTGACGAAGGAAGGCGTCTGGTTCGACATTGTTCCTTTTTTTTCTTTTCTTCTTCTTTTGGGAGGGTTTACTTCTAGTAGTGGTAAAAACAGAGCATCGGGAAAGTGGGGAAAATGAAAATGGAGAAGACTAGCTTTGGGAAGAAACTGGGGTTGCGTCTCTGCTGTCACTTGCTCGAGTAAGCTATGGTATGTGGTAGAGTGTGGAACTGGTGGGTTCGTACAGTTGGAAGAAATGAAGGTCAGGGAGATACGATTGATTGGAGAGTTAATAGACTGCAATCAGTTTCTCGTCAAATCAGAAGATATGGAAATTGCAAAGAACACTTTTGGGATTGTAATCAAAACATTGGAGAAAGAATCAAAGCTGGAATGGATTATTACAAATATGTAAGATAAGAACTTTATTCAAGAGCTGGGTTGTAATTATTTGGCAGTGCGTAGCTCAACTCAAGATGTGCATCAATCCTACAGACTACAGATCATAATGGATACACGCTGATATGCAAAATGGAACAAAAATAGGTTCATCCATCAATGAGGGGCTTGTTGTAGAGGATGGTTATGTAGGGTGGCTATACGATCCGATCCGGTTAAATTGGCTCAAATTGATCTGGTCTTGATTCGGTCTTTTCGAGAATATAAGGATAAAAGATTGGATTGGATAAAGTCCGGTCATAACCCGATTCGGTCCCAATTCGTTCTTTATTTCATATTGTGCTTGTGTGGATTTGAGTAGGTTGAGGCCTCAAAGGGTGAGGAATTGGTTAAGTTTTGGTTGTTGGGCTCTCTTATTCGGTCTTTATTCGATCTTCGGTCCGGTTCCGAATGGTTTTTTACCTCAAATCTAAACTTGAATATGGGATTGGATTGTTTTCTATCCGGTCCCAGTCGGTCTCGATCTGGGTTATACAGTCCGGTTTTGGGTAAAACTAAAAAGTCCGGACGAAATAGCCACCCTACTTATACAAGCAGCTCTCTCCCAAACTTTTTATTCATCCAAATATATGGGGGGCCATCCATCTCTAGAGCTTTCTCATATCTTGTGAGTTTGAGAGAATTAGAGTTACCCGCTCCACCTATTTGTCATCACTACCCTTAGGGGTGGAAATTGGTACGGTATCGGTAACCCAATACTAAATACCGAAATCACGAATACCGAATTACATCTTAGAATCAATCACAATCCCAAAATAATTTCGGTATCCCAATCGCAATCCCAAAATATTCCAGTATCCCAATCGGTAATTCGGTATCCCAATCGGTATTATCGAATACGAAATTAATTACCTTTACAATTAATAATTAAATATATAAATTAGATTTGATTGTTTAATATAGGACAAAGAGACTAAACAAAGAGTTTTGAGTTTGGCTAGAGCTAGGATATGGATAAGGAGAATGGAGTAGAGGTGACATCTCAAGTTTTTGTTATTGGTAATCTTTAATTTGACGAATTGGAGGTTGAGAGAAGACTAATACTAGTGTTTGCTTTTTGGTGTTATGAAAATAACAATAGATTGGTGGTTGGGGTAGTGTAGTAGTGAATGAGAGAGTCTAGTTGAGAGGATATAATACACACTAGCTTATATTTCGGTATATACTTATCACAATCCCGTAATCCCTAATACCGAATAACAATTGAAATTGAATCCCAATCCCAAAAAATAATACGTGTCTTCGGTAATACCAAATATAGACAAATTCGGTACGGTATTCGGTATATCCCAAATACCGGTACCGAGCTTCCAGCCCTAACTACCCTAGCATGTGAACCCGCTACACAACCAATGGTGTATCAATAGTATGGTTGTCATGTTGGTGGCATGTCGTCTGGTACAATTAGATTCAACCGCTAATCATTACAAAACTGGCGGGTATACTCTCTGAAGTTAAATGTTGCTATTATTTGTTAAATTCAAGTACAAATGTTTAGATATTTATGTTATTTGATGGATTCCATTATAAACGTTTTAAATTTCGACATTAAATGTTGTATTTTCTTAAAATATGTTATATATACTTTATGTTCATTTACACTATGCTTGGCAATAAGGGGGTGCAAGTTGAAGGGTAAATTGCTGGGGGTGCAACTTGGTCGTGGTTAGGGCTGGCTATTTGGACCGGGACCGGATGAAAAACCGGAAACCGGACCGTATAACCCGGACCGAGACCGGACCGGGACCGGATAGTAAACAATCCAATCCAATCTTTGGGTTTAGATTTGAGGTAAAAAATCGGATAAAGACCGGATAAGAGAGCTCAACACCCAAAACTTAAGGGTAATTTGCATAAACGGTCACAAACCTTTGCACTTAGTACAAAACTTAACCAACTCCTCACCCTTTTAGGCCTTAGGCCACTCAAATTCCCACAATCTCAATATAAAATCATGACCGAATTAGGACCGGACCGGATCAAGCCCGGACTGTATCCAATCCAATCTTCGGTCCTTATATTTAAAAAAAAATGAACTGGACTAGATCAATTTGGGCCAATTTAACCGGACCGGACCGTATAGCCACCCCTAGTCGTGGTGTAGGTGGAGGGGTAAATTGTTGTTTGGATGAAAAAGTAATGAGGTGCAAATAGAGTGAAAAGTAAGTAACTATACTATTATAAAATAGATTTATCAAATTTATAAAATACTATCCCAAAATAGTATAAATAAAAATCAATATATAATAATAAATATATAATATAAAAATAATTATTATATAATAATTCTCAAATAATAATTAATTATAACAACACTTATAATCGTTGGTCAAGCGACCTCGAAACCCAACTCGTAACTAGTCATCGTAAGGGGGTTCTCATGCCTAATTTTAAATTAAGTAATGGTCGAACTTAATCAAATACGTTCAAATCTGTAAGTTTTAACTATTTAGTCAATTAAACTGAGTCAACTAAACTGTTCATCTCTATCTTTCCCACAAACGCTTCTTATCTCTAATTTTCAATGCAAATTCGAGTCAACCAAGAGATATCGATTTGACTAGATGAACATTGACAAACTTGCTTTCGAAGTCACACGGTCAACCCCGAACAACGCCTACATTAATAATAGAAAAAAGTAATAATATTAATTATTATGTAATTATCATACAATTAAACAAAAATCATAATTTCCCTCCTCCCCATCTCTTCCTTCCTTCCCTCCCTTGCACCCAAATTTGGGGAGTAAACCGAAATAGTGATTTCTCATTTCCCAACATGTTTTGCTAAAACTAAGATGAACTTATATAAATGATTGTATCGTCGATCTAATTCGGACCATAACACTTGTAAGACCGACACAGTCGATATAACTCGGTTTAACATATAACAAACAAACCCAAAGAATATACGATAAAGAAAGAACAAATAACAAACCAACAAAACAACAATCACGAGTCCATATTAATGCTGACCAAAGGTATCAAAGGGTTTGCCGTCCGACTAAAAGACAAATGTGCTATGTCTATTTGCGGTAATTAGTTTATGCTTATCAATGGAAGAACCCGCTGACGAAGGTCTATAAACAAAAAAACAACAACTCAGAGTTGCCCAAGCTAATCAGCTTCTTGAAAACCATAAGAAATAACCAGAATCGGGAGGAGGGGAAAAATATGGTCACCACCGATTCAGACTATGACCGGCTGGCGGAGCAGAAGGCATTCAACGCAACAAAAGCCGGAGTGAAAGGGCTAGTGGACGCCGACGTCAAAGAGCTTCCCCAGATCTTCCACGCGCCGCCGCATTTCCTCAACGGCAGACCTCCAGCTCCAGACGGCGACCCGGATTTCTCCCTCCCGGTAATCGACCTGGCAGGTGCGAGGGCCGATCAAGACCCCGAAGAGCGGAAACGAATCATCAAGAAAATCGGTGTAAGAGATGAATCTTAATTTTTCTAATATTGAGATTTAGTGGTTTTCCTTCTTTCGTTTCGTTGCGGGATATCTCGTTCGTACACATCTTTGATCTCTTGTTTCTCGAGCCTATAGTGAGCTACAAACAGAGTTCGAAAATGTCACATCTTTTGATAATTCCATCATACATGATTGAGTTATGAAAACTTCTGGATAAGCTATCCTGCATCCCGAATTGAATTCTTTTTCCGGTTAAAGAATCTGTTCGTGTTAACAATCAGGACGCATCGACAGAGTGGGGTTTCTTCCAGGTCGTGAACCACGGCGTCCCGGCGAGCACCCTGAACGAGATCAGAGCCGGGACGCACCGGTTCTTCGACCAGGACGTGGAAGTGAAGAAGGAGTACTTCAGTGCCGATCCGATGTCGAAAGTCGTGTACACGTCTAACTACGGCCTGTACACGGCCCCGGTCGCCAACTGGGGCGACCTGATCCTGTTCAGGATGGCGCCGGACCCGCCGGCGCCGGAGCAAATCCCCGCCTGCATCAGGCAGAACGTGCAGGAATTCTCCGACGAAATGTCCAAGGTCGGGGAATTGCTGCTCGAGCTGATGTCGGAGGCGTTGGGTCTTGCTCCGAATCACTTGAAGGACGAGATGGGTTGCGCGGAAGGAATTGGATTGGCCTGCCATTACTACCCTCCTTGTCCTCAGCCGGAGCTCGCCCTGGGGATTACTCACCACACCGATATTGGGTTCGTCACCGTTCTTTCTCAGGACCACGTCGGAGGTCTGCAAGTCGTTCATCGAGATCGTTGGGTCGATGTGCCTCCGGTGCCGGGGGCTTTAGTGGTCAACGTCGGGGATATGCTTCAGGTACAAGTTCAAATTTCAATTAACGTTACTACTCGTTTTATTGATTTATGAAAAAGAAAACTAGTAAAATCTCGTTTACTAGCTCGTCTAGCTACTACTATGCTATGAACTGATGAACATTGATAAATTGGGCCTCGAGAGTGGCATACCACAAGATTGTCAAACCATTATCAGACCGGCCTGTTGGATCAGGTTGGATCGGAATGGGTCGTGAAAATGATTTTCAACAAGTTATTATGAGTGGTCAAAATTGGGAAATCGGACCACTTTCTGGTTTCTGGCTCGAGGACAAAATGTTGTCAGTTGTGGAATGCAATGACAAAATGAGATGAGGCTAGGGTATCTATATACTTAAACGTAAACTTACTAAATGATACATGTAAGGTAAAATTTATTTTGGTCATTACATATTTAAACCACTACTTCGTATATATATTTAGAAAATGAATAAAACGGATCAACTCGGTTGGACTCCGATTTGACCATTGAACCTCAAACCACTTGCTTGACCAGTTCAATAACTTAAACTCATTTGATAGCCTTGGATACACTCTCTCCCAGTTTTAGATACATACTAGCTAGTAACCTCACAACTTCTTTTGTTTTATTGCAGCTGATATCGAACGATAAATTCAAAAGTGCGGAGCATAGAGTGATCGTCAACAGTACTGAACCAAGAATATCAACAGTTGCATTTTTTGGTAATGGGTCAACGTTGAAACCGAGAATGTATGGACCTATAAAAGAGTTGTTATCGGAAGGAAATCCTCCCATATACCAAGAAATTGCGATGGAAGAATTCTTTTTCCAAACCTATAAAAAGGGCTTCGATGGTGACTCGTATCTGCCACGACTTAAGCTCTGAGGATCAAGCGTCTCTTTTGAACAAGATCGATGACAGAGTACAAGGGTGCTTCTTCTTCATGATTTGCAAGATTTGTCGTGTAATAAAAGATCCTTCAACTATGGCGATAATGAGATGCACACTACTATTGTAACCGATGCATATGCCTTGGTCGGATCTGTGCTTGTTTTCTGGTTTTTAAAAGAGAGTGTTGTTTGTGTTTTTCCATCGAGTCTTTCTTATCTCTGTTGATGTGCTTCCTCCTTCCCTTCTCCCGAATCCTTCTTCGTAGAAATTCAATGGACAGTTGATCAACGCGATTAAGTCATCATTTTGGATCAGATTTATTTTGATTTATAAATAATATATACATACCTAATATGTTTATGGGAAAAAGTTTTCGAACTAATCATAACACCTCTGCCACCTTCTATCATGATGGTAGGATGGTGGTAAACGATGGTAGACAATAATAAATGGTGGTTAGTGTGTTCTTACGCTGCCAAGTTCATTTTCACCAATTCGCTGACAACAATAATTTTGTTTTTTGGATTTTCCTTTTCCGTCTTCCAATAGAAACTTCTGGATCTGGATCCCATCAGTAACTCATGAGTTAGTAACCCCTTCCTCTCCTTCCTCTGTCCTCCACGTGTCAGCTTTTGCCCTTTTTTTTAATTAAACATGGAGGAGCTATGGTAAAATTGCACTCACCCCATTTAATGATGGCGCTGACTAGGGATGGCAATGGGTAGGGTCGGGTGCAGGTTTACTCTATGCCAACTCCTAAAATACCCGACCAAATAACCACCGGGTATGAAAATTATATAACCATACCCTACCCACCGGGTAACCACGGGTATTCGGGTAACCATGGGTACGAATCCTAAACTATGAACTTATTCACATATATGCACATATATACTGTTGTACATTAAAAATTCTCAATACTTGTAACTGTTCTAGCTTCAACAATCCATACAAATAAAAACAGCAAACACATAATAATTGTTCTTGCTTCTACAATCCACACAAACATAATAATAGTCTACATCTTCATCATCAATAATGGTAGCTAAACTCAATTTCTCAAGCTAAAATAAATTTCTCAAGGGAAATTGACCCTTTGGTTAGCAGGGCGGGTATAACGGGGCGGGTATTATCGATTACCATACCCGTACCCTACCCTTCATTTTGAAACCGGGTATTACCTGTACCCGCCCCTTAACCCGTCAAAGCGGGTAATTACCCTCGTTGACCGGTCACGGTCGGGTAGGGTACCCATGATTACGGGTTGGATTGACATCCCTAGCGCTGACGCTGACCCTCAAACTCTGACTTTTGACCAGATGTCGGCCCCACTCCCTCCCCCATGCCTTCCTCTCTCTCACTCTTTTTTTTCTTCTATTATTAAAAGAAAAAATAAATTATTTTCTCTCTCTCGTCTACAACTAAAGAAGATGGAAATGTATATGCTCTTTCCACTCCAACTCTATCTATACAACAAAAATTAATCTAACCATCTCGGCTTCTTCTGCTTTAATTCCGAATCAAATTGAATGATGATTTTTTTATTAACTAATTCAGTGCAAAGAGGGTAATTACAAGTATGAATATGATTATCATTTTCTACTACCATGGTAAAATATGCTAAAGAAAAATATAAATCTAATTACCATACAATACCATATGGTATAGTATGCTAAAATAAAATTATAAATCCAATTGCCATACAAATACGGAAATACCACATAGTATAACATAGTAAAACACGCTACAGAAAATTATAAATTTAACTATCATACAATACCATCATAGTAAAACATGGTAAATCGAATGACCATAAATTAATTATAATTATCATACAATACCACATGGCATGAGAAGGTAAAACTATATAAAACAATATAAATCTAATTACAACACTCTATGACCATAGTAAAACATGATATCCATAAAAATACATTTTGTTACCACACATTACCATATAGTATAGACACATTACCATAAATTGTAGTGTGATAATCTCCCCCCTCCCCCCGTCTTCTAACTCTTCTTTTTCGGAACTTGTGTCAATTATCACCCACTACCACTATGATAAAACTCGTGACTATAAAATTACATTTTGTTACCAAACATTATCATATGGTATAGTGTGATAATAATTAATATCAATATATATGAGGAATTTTACAATGCTTTATAGTATTGATGCTATAGGTTTTTACTTTTATGGTACAATTTGAAGTTGTACCTTTAATGTTATGGTACAACTTCATATTGTACCTATACTATTTTGTACAAATTCTTTTATGGTACAACTTGAAATTGTACATTTATGTGATGGTACGACTTTAAGTTGTAAAGTTGTACCATAACATAAGGGTACTTATTCTTTTATGGTACAACCTAAACTTATACATTTAAAGTTATGGTACAATTTCAAGTTGTACATTAAAACACCAATACTTTATAGCATAGTAAATGTGCTCCAATATATATTACCTAAAAGAAGGGGGAAAACAGAAGGAAGGAGAGCAAGGTTGTCAACCTAGACCCCGTCGAGCTAGTGGGTCAAGGGTTAATGGATCACCCGTTTTAACCCGATTTAGCCTGAAAATATGAAAAGAGTAATTATATTATACTTATCTGAAATCCAACATAGAAAAAAATACAACAATACTTAAACTCCAACGCACTTAAATAACATCAACCTAAATTCAACATAGTAAAAATTCAACGACACTTCGGAACGAGAGCCTGCTGACCAGCTCGGATGGGCCAACCGTCCGGGTTTTTCTGGGTTTGACCATTTCCGGGCTAACTCACAAATGGGTTGTTCTAGCCCATTTTCAGGAGCGGGTTCGGACCAACCCGGGTTAACCTGCAAGTTGACAACCTTGAAGGAGAGAAAAGAACTCGTCTTATGTCTCCTCTCATTTCCTCCTCCGCAATCAAGAAAACCAAATGCAAAAAAAAGGGATGAAGATCGAAATTGAAAATTCACAAACAAATACTAAAACATAAAACATGCAAACTCGACTCACCTAGATTCGTCCCCTCTTGGTTGATATGGAGCGTCACCAATTTTGAGACCGAGAAAAGAAAGAACAGAAGAAAGGAGTAGCTCGAGAGAATAAGGATCTTGAACGTCACCAGATTTGAGGCGAGCGGCTGCAATTTTTTTTCGTCGATTGTTGGAGATAAAAAAACGAAGACAAAAGAATGAAGGAGATCTAGATATGGAGAAAGTAGATTGGAAGAGAGAAAGAGAAAAGAGAGAGGAAGAGAGAAGTTTGACTTTCTCTTTCTTCCATTATACGGCAGCAAATAAATGCTAGAAAAAATAAAAAAATAAAAAATTGGACAAAAATGCCCATGTCCACCTTGTGTCAACCCTAGCCACATGATACATCCGTCCCTAGATCTACGGCTCCTACCGTATCTTGAGTCGAAACTTCCACCATTTATCAAAGATCCATCAAAGAGACCTATAAAATAAATGCTTGCCCCAAGCAACTGGGGGAGGGGGACCCCCGATGCGCAAATCGACTATCAGTGTGTATATATATGGTGGCGTCTTCGGTGCACTCACTTTTTTGGGTGCATTCAGTGCACTCACTTCATAACCGTTATTTTAAACATGCGATTTATGTCAAAATGATGTCATTCATCACTTATGATGTGATGAACAATAACGCACATGAATTTGCACAAAAACCATTGAAGATTTACTTTAATTTGAAGGATTTAGAGTTTCGAGATTTAGGGTTAGGGTTAGGGTTTACAATTTGGGGTTTAGGGATAGAACTCAAAATTGGAGGTCTATATATATATGGTGACTACTTCGGTGCACTCACAAAAATGAGTGCGCTCAATGCACCCAACTCAAAAACTAGTCTTAAGGTGTCGGATTTTGAATTTTAATTTGTAGAATTAGTGTAATATGATGATATAACAGATGATAACAACTAAATAGTGGATTACCCTAAGCCCTAGACCTCCAATTTTGAGTTCTATCCCTAAACTCCAAATTGTAAACCCTAACCCAAGGTTGTCAAACCGGTTTATGCCGGTGTGCCGGTTTTGTAAGTGGAATGGTCTGACCGTGGTACAACCAGTATTCATGCCGGTTGTGCCGGTTTTAATAAAATACATGAGGAAAATGGAAATCCTCAATTCCAAATAAATTAGTCATGAAAAAGCAATTAGAAGAATTATTTCACACAAAATAATTTATAGCTAAGAATTGGTAACTAATACTAAACAATTAGATGCTTAAAAATAAAATTTTATTAAATGAATTTTATTAATGTTTATAATGATTTGTGTAAAATTTAGTATTAGATATATAACATATAAGGTTAATATAGACAACAAAATTGCTTGTAGCCTACTGGTGTATAAGTTAAACTAAAATGAACATGAGGTACTTGGTTCAAATCCTATGAAGGATGTTTATTTTTGGATATAATGTGTGTAACATTAAATTCCGGTTTCTGGTCTAACCGGCCGGAATTTCCGGATTTGACCGGATCTGACCGGCATTGACCGGATTTGACCACAATTAAATACCGGCCCCTTTCCAGCCGGTTTCCTGACCGGTACCGGTTGAACCCGGTTGAACCGGCCGGCATAAAACCGGTTTGACAACCATGCCCTAACCCTAACCCTAAATCTCTAAACTCTAAATTCTTCAAATTAAAGTAAATCTTCAATGGTTTTTGTGCAAATTCATGTGCGTTATTGTTCATCACATCATAAGTGATGAATGACATCATTTTGACATAAATCGCATGTTTAAAATGACGGTTATGAAGTGAGTGCACCGAAGACGCCACCATATATATATATATATACACTAACTTAGGATTTAGGATGGACTTAACCTACCTCCCAAGAGGATTTGTTGTGACTTCTAAGAAGACTTGCTATGAATATTTAGGGGTTCGCCCACCTCTATGGCGACTTGTGGGTCTAACTTGAAGCTCGACGAATCTATGACAAGATCTATTTTATGGGTTATGACTTATGAGTTATGAGTTATGACCAAGGATTTCAATAAAGCTATATAAGGCTTCTCCTTACCACATTGGAGAGATTTTGGCATGCTTACTCCCTCGGATGACATTTGCTAGATATGACTTAGTGAAGTTTATGCTTCCGCCTTAAGACTGAAAACATGCCAATTTACTATTTTTTACATAAAAGATGCTCATACACATTGAAAAAATTATCAAACATGCCTTCTGTTAAAATTTTCATTAAAAAATCGTCAATCAGGGTTGGACTGAGATTCAGATGACCCGGCATCGACAAATGGAAGGAAAAATGTCAATTTGTCCCCTGATTTACTTCTCTAGTTCTCATTAAAGTGAACTCAT